TTCACCATGTTGACCAGGATGGTCTCGATCTCTTGACCTCGTGATCCACCCGCCTCGGCCTCCCAAAGTGCTGGGATTACAGGTTTGAGCCACCGCGCCCGGCCCTATTTGATATTTAAAGTAGTTTTTTTCTAATTCTGTGAAGAAAGTCAGTGGTAGCTTGATGGGGATAGCACTGGATCTATAAATTACTTTGGGCAGTATGGCCATTTTTACGATGTTGATGATTCCTGTTCATGAGCATGGACTGTTTTTCCATTTGTTTGTGTTCTCTCTTATTTCCTTGAGTAGTGGTTTGCAGTTCTCCTTGAAGAGGTCCTTCTAATCTCTTGTAAGTTGTATGCATAGACTTTATTCTCTTTGTAGCAATTCTGAATGGGAGTTCAGTCATGATTCAGCACTCTATTACTGGTGTATAGGATGCTTGCTATTTTTGCACATTGATTTTTTATCCTGAGACTTTGCTGCAGTTGCTTATCAGCTTAAGATTTTGGGCTTAGATGATGGGGTTTTCTAAATATATAATCATGTCATCTACAAACAGAGACAATTTGACTTCCTCTCTCTTTATTTGAATACCCTTTATTTCATTCTCTTGCCTGATTGCCCTGGCCAGAACTTCCAATACTATGTTGAATAGGAGTGGTAAGAGAGGGCATCCTTGTCTTGTGCTGGTTTTCAAAGGGAATGCTTCCAGCTTTTGCCCATTCAGTATGATGTTGGCTGTGGGTTTGTCGTAAAGAGCTCTTATAATTTTAAGAAACATTCCATCTATACCTGGTTTATTGAGTTTTTAGCAAGAGGGGGTGTTGAATTTTACCAAAGGCCATTCATTTCTGCATCTATTGAGATAATCATGTGGTTTTTATAATTGGTTCCGTTTATGTGATGGATTACATTTATTGATTTGTGTATGTTGAAACAGCCTCGCATCCCAGGGGTGAAGCCCACTTGATCATGGTAGATAAACTTTTTGAAGTGCTGCTGGATTCAGTTTGCCAGTATTTCATTGAGGATTTTTGCATTGATGTTCATCAGGGATATTGACCTGAAATTTTCTTTTCTTCTTGTTTCTCTGCCAGGTTTTGGTATCAGGATGATGCTGGCCTCATAAAATGAGTTAGGGAGGAGTTGCTCTTTTTCTTTTGTTTGGAATAATTTCAGAAGGAATGGTACCAACTCCTCTTTGTACCTCTGGTAGAATTCGGCTGTGAATCCATCTTGTCCTGGGCTTCTTTTTGATTGGCAGGCTATTAATTACTGCCTCAATTTCAGAACTTGTTATTTATCTACTCAGGGATTTGACTTCTTTTTGGTTTAGTCTTGGGATGGTGTAAGTGTCCAGGAATTTATCCATTTCTTCTAAATTTTCTAGTTTATTTGCATAGAGGTCTTTATAGTGTTTTCTAGTGGTAGTTTGTGTTTCGATGAGATCAGTGGTGATCTCTTTTTTATCATTTTTATTGTGTCTATTTGATTCTTCTTTCTTTTTTATTAGTTTAGCTAGCCATCTATCTATTTGTTAATCTTTTCAAAAAACCAGCTCCTCGATTCACTGATTTTTTGAAGGTTTTTTTTGTGTCCCTATCTCCTTCAGTTCTGCTCCGGTCTATTTCTTGTGTTCTGTTAGCATTTGAATTTGTTTGCTCATGTTTCTCTAGTTCTTTTAATTGTAATGTTAGGCTGTCAATTTTAGATCTTTCCCACTTTCTCCTGTGGGCATTTGGTTCTATAAATTTCCCTCTAAACACTGCTTTAGCTGTGTCCCAGAGATTCTGTTATGTTGTGTCTTTGTTCTCATTGGTTTCAAAGAACCTATTTATTTCAACCTTAATTTCACTATTTACGCTACCTGGGTGACTTCTACTAAGATTCAGCTCACAACTTCAGGGCCACTTATTGTGTGCAGCATGTCTCATTCTTAAATCTTGTGCATCAAGAACATTCTGTACTTTCGTAGCACACACTTACCACACGTTTGTGTCAGTCTCCTGCATGTGTCCACACTGGATTGTCAACTTGAGAGATTATGTCTGTGTACTTCACAGCTGCAGCCCTAAGTGCTTAGCAGAGTGCCTGGCAAATAGTATGTCCTTAATAAAATATTTTGAATGTATAAATGAATAATTGTAATCCATGGAAAAAGCAGATATTAGAAAACCTACTTTTGTTATGCATGTTTATTTGCCCACTGATTCATAACTACTTTGTATTATAAGGAATCCTAGAAGACCATCAGGCCAAAGTATGAAATATTGCAAGTCACTATATGGCTTCTTTCTGACTCTCATAGTCATTTACTCTGTTTTGGCTGAAGTTACTTTAGCATGAGTTCACTTTCCATAGTTTGCACAAATTGCCTTTTTTCTTTTCCTTGAAGCATCAGAATAGGTGTGTTTCCTTTTCCGAGTTTTAATCATTCACATAGTTGGGATCAGCTAGCCTGCCTGTTTTTACTCTTACCCTTCTTTTTTTCAGCACAAACACCTCCAATCCATTCAACTTTTATATGCGAGAAGTTGCCTTAGTATAGAGCATGCTGTTTAGCCAATGTCCCTTATAAAGAATGGCATTCATAACTTGACAAAACATTCAGAACACAGTGGAAGAACAATGTGTAATCATGACTGCATTAACCTGGCTATTAAATAGTTTGCATACTGATGAGGCATAATACATTGATCCTCTAATCTTTGCTTCTACCAATGTTACTGTTAATAGTGATTATAATAATTATCAGTATATCTAACATATATTGAGCACATATCGTATAATAGACTAAGCACGTTTCACATAGTACCTTATTTGGTACTTAAAACTCAATGAAGTATGTAATAACAATATGCCCTTTTAACAGATGAGGAAATAATTTGCTCAAGGTCACATAACTAAGGAATAATGGTTCTAGGAGTGGCTATAATATACTGCTAAACTCTTACTAGGTTTTGTCTTGACTGATATTTTTCAATCAGTTAATTTTAGGCTCCAAAGTAAAATGAGTTTAAACAACATGATGTATGATTACCTCATTGCAAACCTGTAGATTTTCTGTTAGATAATCGATATCTAACATCTTAAAAGACTTTGGTAAATTTAGAGATTGAATTCCTTGTTTATATAAACATGCCTTTACCTCACATCACCAAAAAGTTGCATTGAGATGACAGAAACATAGAAAAATAATTTTTAAAAATTTCCATGTTGTGTTCGAGGGCATGGAAAGTATTGTGAGAGACACAACAAGAGTGGATTTTTAACCCAGACATATATGTGTATACAGTACTTCTGCTGTTAACAGTAAGTGAAGTTGAGATACTTGAATAGTAACAAGTAGATGTCCTTGCACAAAACTTGAAAGGCTTCCAGATCTTCAGCACTTTAAAGAAGTTTAATAATTTTAAGTTTTTAAATATTGCTTTTTGGTAAAAACTTGAATACAAAGATTTTAAAGTTGCTATTAACTTTAATCTTTAAATAACTTAAGCATGTCTAAATACTCTTAAATTAAGGCAATATACTCTTCTTAGTGTGTTCTGAATGATAAAAGCTTTATAGTAAACAGGATTATCAGCAATAGAGAGCTAGAAGTAAGTTGAATGTACTAAAAGCAATTGCAACCAAAGCCAAAATTGACAAATGAGATCTAATTAAACCAAAGAGCTTCTTCACAACAAAAGAACTATCATCAGAGTGAACAGGCAACCTACAGAATGGGAGAAAATTCTTCCAATCTACCCATTTGACAGAAGTCTAATATCCAGAATCTACAAGGAATTTAAATAAATTTATAACAACAACAACAACAACAACAACAACAACAACAACAAAAACCCCTCAAAAAGTGGGCAAAGGATATGCACAGATACTTCTCAAAAGAAGACATTTATGTGGCCAACAAACATATGAAAAAAAGCTCAGTATCACTGATCATTAGAGAAATGCAAATCAAAAGCACAATGAGATACCATCTCACACTAGTCAGAATAGCTATTATTAAAAAGTCAAGAAACAATAGATGGTAGCAAGGCTGTGGAGAAATAGGAACACTTTTACACTGTTGGTGGAAATCTAAATTAGTTCAACCATTGTAGAAGACAGCGTGGTGATTCCTCAAGGATGTAGAAACAGAAATACCATTTGACCCAGCAATCCCATTACTGGGTATCTACCTAAGGAATATAAATCATTCTACTATAAAAACACTTGCACACGTACGTTTATTGCAGCACTATTTACAATATTAAAGTAATGAAACCAACCCAAATGCCCAACAATGATAGACTGGATAAAGAAAATGTGGTATATATACACCATGGAATACTATGCAGCCATAAAAAGGAATGAGATCATGTCCTTTGCAGGGACATAGATGACGCTGAAAGCCATCATTCTCAGCAAACTAACACAGGAACAGAAAACCAAACATGGCATGTTCTTGCTCATAAGTGGGAGTTGAACAGTGAGAACAAATGGACACAGGGAGGGGAACAACACATACTGGGGCCAGTCAGATGGTTGTGGCAAGGGGTGGGAGAGCTTTAGGACAAATACCGAATACATCCACAGGTTAAAACCTAGATGATGGGTTGACAGGTGCAGCAAACCACCATGGAACACGTAAACCTATACAACAAGCCTACCAATTCTGCAGTTGTATCCCAGAATTTGAAATAAAGAAAAAAAAGAAAAAAGAAATAAGTTTAATGAAAATATTATTATTTTGAAATAATAATGAAAATATTGCATGTGTTTCACCTTAGTTTTCATCATCTTAATCAAAATTTAATTGGAATATTAACTATACTTTGTATATTTTTGAAATATTTGCTTATATTATATATCTTATATTAGAACATATTAAAAGTATAGTACAAACAGATTCTTAACTAGTCGAAATCAGTGATTGATATCTTGCAATATTTAGGAGTTTCTAAATCAATCTTGAGTTCATGTTTTAAACAACTATTACTCATTTATAAACAATGTAATTTTTTTAAAAGGATTTGGAAACATCTCACCACGCACAGAAGGCGGGAAAATATTCTGTATCATCTATGCCTTACTGGGAATTCCCCTCTTTGGTTTTCTCTTGGCTGGAGTTGGAGATCAACTAGGCACCATATTTGGAAAAGGAATTGCCAAAGTGGAAGATACGTTTATTGTGAGTATGATAGATATTTAACTACATACATTTATTGTTTTGATTTAAAAAAAAATACCTTTTCTATTACCTCAGATACAATTAGACATTCAATTATTAGGGTTTCCATAACAATTTATATTCATCTCTATTGGCATGTAACTCATTGCATTTTAATTATGTTTATATTTAATCTGAATTAATAAATGCACGAGAAAAACTCAAAAATATGACAGAAAAAAGTAGAAATTCAACAGTCTTAGATTCAAATTTCTTTCTTTCCTTCCCTCCACTTCCTTCCTTCTTCTTTCTTTTTTCTTTTTCTTTCCTTCCTTCCTTCCTTTCTCTTTCTTTCTCTTTCTTTCTTTCCTTTTCTTTCTTTCTTTTCTCTTTCTCTCTCTTTCTCTCTCTTTCTTTTTGCAGAGTCTTACTCTGTTGCTAGGCTGGAGTGCAATGGCACAGTCTGGGCATACTGCAACCTCTGCCTCTAGGGTTCAACCTCTGTCTGCCAGGTTCAACCTATTCTCCTGCCTCAGCTCCCGAGTAGCTGGGACTACAGGTGCCTGCCACCACACCCAGCTAATTTTTGTATTTTTAGTAGAGACGGGGTTTCACCATATTGGCCAGGCTGATCTCAAACTCCTGACCTTGTGATCCACCTGCCTCAGCCTCCCAAAGTGCTGGGATTACAGGCATGAGCCACCATGCCCAGCCAGATTCAAATTACATATGTAGTGTTTCCTAGCTATATTCTCTTAAACTAGTTATTATCCCTTCAAATCTACATTTTCTTATTTGTGTAACTTCAATAATGGTACTAGGGAGGGATTGCTCTGAGGGTTGGCGGCAATATAAATTTGATCTTAACGTAAGTAGTAAATGACTGACAGTACCACATTATTTAAAAATTTGCTTTGGTACCCTTATAAAGCCCCTTTAGGAAAGATGAGCAATCTAGAGAGCAAACATAATAAAGGTGATCATATAACTTAATTCAGTAGTGCCATTGATAGAAATGTATCTACACAATGTAATTTAGTAGAACCAGAGGTTTAGTACACATGAAGATCTTCAAGGCAGTCAACAACAACAAAATGCTAATGCTTTTGTTAAATTTTAAGTGACAAACAATAATACTCCTATGATTATAAGCTTGTGTTCTTGGAAGAAAATTATGTAAAAAGTAGTTGTTTCTGTTAGAGGGTGAGATTATAAAGGATTTGTTACTTCTAGCACCACTATTGCAAATAAACCTTGTTCATCATTTAGTAATGTTTTCTACTTTCACACAAAGTTCAACAAAATATTTACATTTAACTCCACTGATGAAATAAAATATTGAGCATTGTTTTCTCAATTTGGAGTATAGTTCCAGTTTTAGCACTGGTCATGTTTCAGATTTAAGATCAAAGTTAGATCTCAAACATTTTCACTATTAAAATGGAATAACACATAGTTATTCTAAAATTCAAGTTTTATTCTTTTTTTGGTATTGTACTTTTATTTAAAAGAATCCTCTGTTTATATTAATCAAGAGGGCAGGTTAGTGGCATAAACATAGTAATGTTAAATTCTTCATTCATTCATTCAACAAATTTTTTAGTGCCTCCTACATGCTAGCTAATGTTTTTTATGTTGCGTATACAACAGTGCATAAAAAAACAAATTCCATGCCCTCATGGTGATGACATTCCAGTAATCATGGTTCAGTGCTTGGTACCAAGCATTTTTCTATAATCTTTATAAACAGGAAGTCATTTAACTCTCACGTATACGATGAGGATGGTTGAGTAGAGGAATGCCTGTGTACCCTTTCCATTCTGTGATTTCATAGGTCTTTATTTCTAAAAATTCTCAAGCTCTAATATTCAGCGTGGTTTGTGACCTATATTCTTTACAGTAGATAGGACAGATCCAGTCAGATTGAAAATATATAGTAACTAACCTCAAATGGAAAGTTGGATATAAACTGTTGTATATATACCAACTTCATTTAATATATTACACTCTAGAGTTTTTTTTTATTGGAGAAGAAGATTTTTTTTAACATGGGTATTACGATGACAGCTATGGCCTAGGAATATTGAAGACTTATCCTTACCTGTTGATCATGTAGCTTTGTTAGTTGTACAATTTAGTACCATAGAACAGAGAAAGAATTCACCTGGTTCATGTTGGAATCAAACTGTGGAAGTTAAGCTCTAATCAATTAAATTAATGATCGGAAAAAGTGATGGAAGTGATGAAAAAGAGTCTTTATGAAATTAATGTTTATCAATGAGCAATTATGAATACTTAATTCTTGTTTTGGTGTCTTTATCTTCATATGGTTCTGTGTTGTATTTGGCCTGCAATCAGTTGTATATATGACTATAGAATAGAAACATTTCAAAAGCACTTCAGGTAAATAATAATGATGCAAATCTAAAATTGCATTCTGAGGGCAAATGTAATTTACCTTCAAAAGAATTTTACCTGTTGTAAAGCTGTGTGAGGATAAAGCAGCATCATTATTAGCACTGATTTTTTTTATTGATGATACCTAATTTTCATAAGTAAAGACAATTGAAAACTAAGTATAAAAGAAAAGCAAATAACATGCTTATGTGCTAATTTGCTCATAACAGTTTATAGGTTAAATTTGTGAGTATGCAATTAATTTCTCTCTCTCTCTCTCTCTCTCTCTCTCTCTCTCTCTCTCTCTCTCTCTCTCTCCATAAATATATTACACATACACCTTTCTATCTCATCCCTAGAAGTGGAATGTTAGTCAGACCAAGATTCGCATCATCTCAACAATCATATTTATACTCTTTGGCTGTGTACTCTTTGTGGCTCTGCCCGCGATCATATTCAAACACATAGAAGGCTGGAGTGCCCTGGACGCCATTTATTTTGTGGTTATCACTCTAACAACTATTGGATTTGGTGACTACGTTGCAGGTAAGCTTTTCCTGGCACCTATGTTACTCTCCTAACGGGTTTATTAGTTAGATTTTTCACTTAGGTTTGTAACAAAACGCAACGGCTGTTTGAGTTTTCTAGGGCTGCCATAACCAAGTACCCATAAAGTGGGTGGCTTTAAACAAAAACAAATTTATTGTCTCACAGAAGTTGGAAATCAAGGTGCCAGCAGGACCATGATCCCTCTGACTCAGTAGAATTTTTCTTAGCCTCTCCCTAATTTCTGGTAGAGACCAGCAGTCCTTGGCAATTCTTGGCTTGCAGCTGCATCCCTTCCCATCTCCACCTCCTTCAACACATGTTTTTCTTCTTGTGTTTGTCTCTGCAGCCAAATTCCCTACTGTTTATAAGCATACCAGTCAAATTGTACTAGAGGCTCATCCTACCCGAGTATACCATAACCATATCTTAATTATATGTACAAGAACCTTTTATTTTATTTATTAATTTAGAGAGAGTCTTGCTGTGTCACCCAGGTTGGAGTGCACTGGCACAATCTTGGCTCACTGCAACCTCTGCCTCCTGGGTTCGAGTAGTTCTGCTGTCTCAGCCTCCCAAGTAGCTGGGGTTACAAGCCTGCACCACCAGGCCCAGCTAATTTATGTATTTATAGGAGAGATGGGGGTTTCACCATGTTGATCAGGCTGGTCTTGAACTCTTGACCTTAGGTAATCCACCTGCCTCGGCCTCCAAAAGTACTAGGATTACAGGCACAAGCCACTACACCTGGCCTGAGAACCTTATTTGAAAATGAGATTACATTCTGAGGTACTGGGAATTAGGACTTCGGCATATCTTAGAGGACACAATCATAACAGTGGCAAAGACAAATAGTGACTCTGTGACACTGGAGGTGTATGGAAAGGTGGAGTTGAATATTTTTTTTTTATTTAATGAAAGATATGTAACCACTGGTTGTTCAGAATTTTATATTTCCACCCTAATATTTGAAACCAAGTATCTGCCTCTGAATTTTTTTGTTTTGTTTAGCACATATTTTGATTTTTTTCTTAAATGATTTCAACTTTTTTTTTTTGATGGAAAGAGTACATTGAAAATAATCCAGTTTTTGAGGATCTACTATAATAAGATAGAACATAATATTTTTTTTTTTTTTTGAGACGGAGTTTCGCTCTTGCTACCCAGGCTGGAGTGCAATGGCGCGATCTCGGCTCACCGCAACCTCCGCCTCCTGGGTTCAGGCAATTCTCCTGCCTCAGCCTCCTGAGTAGCTGGGATTACAGGCACACGCCACCATGCCCAGCTAATTTTTTTGTATTTTTAGTAGAGACGGGGTTTCACCATGTTGACCAGGATGGTCTCGATCTCTTGACCTTGTGATCCACCCACCTCGGCCTCCCAAAGTGCTGGGATTACAGGCTTGAGCCACCGTGCCCGGCCTGATTTTAACTTTTATTTTAGGTTTGGTGGTACATGTGCAGGTTTGTTACCTGGGTATATTGTGTGATGATGAGGTTTGGGATAAGACTGATGCCATCACTCAGGTACTGAGCATAGTACCCAATAGTTGGTTTTTCAACCCTTGTCCCCCTCCCTCCCTTCCCACTCTGGTAGTCTCGTGTCCATTGTTGCCATCTTTATGTCCATGAGTACCCATTATATAGCTCCTACTTACAAGTGAGACTATGTGGTATTTGGTTTTCTGTTCTTGCATTAATTCACTTAGGAAAATGGTCTCCAGCTGCTTCCATGTTGCTGCAAAGGACATGATTTTGTTCTCCTTTATGGCTACGAAGTGTTCAATGGTGTGTATATACCACATTTTCTTTACCTAATCCACCATTGATGGGCACTTAGATTGATTCCATGCCCTGGTTATTGTTAATAGTGCTGTGGTAAACATATGTGTCTATATGACTTTTTGTTAGAAAGAATTATTTTCCTTTGCATATATAGCCAGTAATGGGGTTGCTGTGCTGAATGGTGCTTCTGTTTTAAGTTCTTTGAGAAATTTCCAAACTGATTTCCACAGAGGCTGACCTAATTTTCTTTTCCATGATCAGTGCATAAGCATGTCCTTTTCTACAGCCTTACCAGCATTATATTTATTACTTTTTAATAATAGCCATTCTGAGTGGTATGAGATCATATTTCATTGTGGTTTTGATTTGCAATTCTCTGATGATTAGTGATGTGGGGCATTTTTTCATATGTTTGTTAGCAACTTGTATGCCTTCTTTTGAGAAGTGTCTGTTCATGTCCTTTGCCCACTTTTTTTCTTCAACTTTTAAGTTCAGGGGTACATGTGCAGGATGTGAAGGTTTGTTACACAGGTAAAAGTGTGCCATTGTGGTTTGCTGCACAGATGAACACATCACCTAGATATTATGCCCAGCATCCATTAGCTATTCTTCCTGTTGTGTTCCCACCCCTGCACCCCCAACAGACCCCAGTGTCCATTATTCCCCACAATGTGTCCACATGTTCTCATCAATCAATTCCTACTTATAAGTGAGAAAATGTGGTGTTTGTTTTCTGTTCTTGTGTTAGTTTGCTGAGGATAATGGCTTCCAGTTCCATTCATGTCCCTGTAAAGGATATGATCCCATTCCTTTTTATGGCTTCATAATATTCTATGGTATATATGTACCAAGTTTTCTTTATCCAGTCTATCACTGATGGGCACTTGGGTTGATTTCATGTCTTTGCTATTGTGAATAGTGCTGCAATGAACATATGTGTGTATGTATCTTTTTAATAGAATGATTTATATTTCTTTGGGTATATACTGAGTAATGGGATTGCTGGGTCAAGTTGTATTTCTGGTTCTAGGTCTTTGAGGAATCATCACACTATATTCCGCAATGGTAGAACTACTTTACATTTCCACCAACAGTCTAAAAGCATTTTTATTTCTCCACAGCCTTGCCAGCATCAGTTGTTTCTAAAATTTTTAATGATAGTTATTCTGACTGGCATAAGATGGTATCTCATTGTGGTTTTAATTTGCATTTCTCTAATGATAATTGATTTAGAGCTTTTTTTCATGTTTCTTGGCCATATGAATGTCTTCTTTTGATAAGTGTCTGTTCATGTCCTTTGCCCACTTTTTACTGCTTTGCCCACTTTTTAATCATGTTGTTTTTTGCTTATTGATTTATTTAAATTCCTTTAAGATTCAGGATATTAAACCTTTGTCAGAAGCATAGGTTATAATTATTTTCTCCAATTCTATAGGTTGTCTGTTTACTCTGTTGATAGTTTCTTTTGCTGTGCAGAAGCACTTTAGTTTAATGAGGTCCTATTTGTCAATTTTTGTTTTAGTTGAAATTGCTTTTGAGGACAGTCACAAATTCTTTCCCAGTGCAGACATCCAGAATAGTATTTACTAGATTTTCTTCTAGGATTTTTATAGTTTGAAGTCTTACATTTAAATATTTAATCCATCTTGAGTTAATTTTTGTATATGGTGAAAGGTGGGGGTCCAGTTTCATCCTGCTGCATATGCTAGCTAGTTATCCCAGCACCATTTATTGAATAGGGAATCCTTTCTCCACTGCTAATTTTTACTGACTTTTGTCAAACATCAGATGATTGTAGGTGTGTGGCTTTTTTTCTGGTTTCTCTATTCTGTTCCATTGGTCTATGTATTTGTTTTTGTAGCAGTACCATGCTGTTTTGGTTACTGTAACCTTGTAGTATTGTTTGAAGTTGAGCAATGTGATGCCCACAGCTTTTGTTGCTGTTGTTTTGCTTAGGATTGCTTTGACTGCTCAGGCTCCTTTTTGGTTCCATATGAATTTTCAAAAAGCTTTTCCTAGCTCTGTGAAAAACCATATTTGTAGCTTAATAGAGATAGCTTTGAGTCTACAAATTGCTTTGGACAGTATGGTCCTTTTAACAATATTGATTGTTTCAGTCCATGAACATGGACTATTTCTCTATTTTTTTGTGTTATTTATGATTTCTTTAAGCAGTGTTGTATAGTTCTTGTAGAGATCTTTCACCTCCTTGGTTAGCTGTATTCCTGGGGTTTTTAAATTTTTTGTGGCTATTATAAATGTGATTGTGTCCTAATTTGGCTCTGATATTGAATGTTATCAGCGTATAAAAATCCTACTGATTTTTGTACATCAATTTTGTATCCTGAAATGTTACTGAAGTTGTTTATTATAGGAGCCTTTGGGCAGAATTTTTAGGATTTTCTAAGTATGGAATCATATTGTTAGTGAAGAAAGATAGTTTGACTTATTTTTTCCTATTTGGATGTTTTTATTTTTTTTCTTTTGCCTGATTGCTCTGCTATGGACTTCCAGCAGTATGTTGAATAGAAGTGGTGAGAGTGGGCATCCCTACCTTCTTCCTGTTTTCAAGGGGAATGCTTCCAGTTTTTTCCCATTCAGTATGCTGTTGACTGTGGGTTTGCCATAGATGGCTCTTATTATTTTGACTTATGTTTCTTCAATGCCTAATTTCTTGGGGATTTTTATCAGGAAGGGATGTTATATTTCATTAAAAGCTTTTTCCACATCTATTGAGATGATCATATGGTTCTTGTTTTTAATTCTGTTTATGTGGTGAATCACATTTATTGATTTGTGTATGGTGAACTAACCTTGCATTCTAGAAATGAAGTCTACCTGATCATGGTGAACTAACTTTTTGATGTGCTGCTGGATTCAGTTTGTTGAAGACTTCTGCATCTACATTTATCAGGGATAATGGTGTATAGATTTTTATTGTTATTGTGTCTTTTGCCACATTTTGGTATCAAAGTGATGCTCATTTCATAGAATGAGTTAGGGAGGAGTCCTTCCTCTTCAATTTTTGGGAATAGTTGTAGTAGCATTTGTACCAGCTCTTGTTTGTATATCTGGTAGAATCTGAATGAGAATTAACCTAATCCAGGGATTCCTTTGGTTGGTAGATTTTTAAATTACTGTTTCCATTTTGGAAGTCAATATTGGTCTGTTCTGGGTTTTAATTTATTCCTGATTCAATCTCAGGAGATTATGTTT